CCGCAACGTGGCATCCAGCGTGGCGTTGTTAGGATGACTTCGTAACCGCATCTCGTATCTTCATTATTTCCCTCTTTCCTCGGAAAATCTTGCGTGATGCTAATTGAAGAAGAAGAAGGAGCGGAATTGGAGCAGCACGATCTCTTCGACGACTCTGACTACGCCGCCTCTCAATTCCAGGTAAGCCCTAACCCTACCTCCTCTCCGATCTCGATCGATCGAATTGATTGAATTCGTCGGCGATAACTCGTTGTGTTTGTGGATCTAGGGTTTGAGTAGTAGCGTTTGGTTGGATTCGGGCGAGATGAGTAGATTTGATGAGAGCGCTGAGTTCGAGGTTGTCTATTCGAAGGATAAGGTTGCGATCCATCCGACGCAGATGGCGACTGAGCGGATAAGTGGTCGATTGCACCTCGTCAAGCAAGGATCTCTGGTGTTCTTGGAAATTTCTAGGTTTTTTTTTTGTGAAATTAGGGTTTCGATTGGATGGATTTCATGTGAATTCTCACAAAAAATTGTTAGCCACAGATTACTGACATTTTGCAGGGTATTCCTTAGGCAAACGAGAGCTTCTAATTACCATTTCACTTCTGAGCTCTTGTTTGTAACCGAGTTCATTGAGGCGCTTCTCTCCTGAATCCATATCCATTTCAATTTCTAGGAACTCAGGGATCTCTCTTTTTTTTCTGGTGTTCTTGGTAATTTATGGATTTTTTTAATAAAATTAGGGTTTCGATTGGATTGATGTCATGTGAATTGTGCAATTCTCGTGAAAAACGGTACTTTTTTTTTAATGAATTAGGGTTTTGCAAATTTCTGCTATCAGATTCTTGATGAGGGGGTTTTGTGAAATTTGCGAGAACTTTTCTGCAGATGAGAAGTTTTGTGAAATAAATCCCACCACGTTGGATGCCACGTTGTCGCCACGTATGCACCACGTGAGCCGTCACGTGAGAAAAATGACCGAAAAATTGGATCCGACCAAACTTAAGGCCTATTTATCGTCAGAGAAAAGAAAATATACCAATATGGTACCGAAAAAAAATTATATGCCAACCTGTCACTAATGATAAACAAAATATATCAATTTAGTCATTTTGTCATTTGACAAGAAAGTTCCCTTTCTGTGAAGGTAAAATGGTCAAAAATCTTAGGGGGCTATTTGCCACAACGAAATTACAAGTCGTCTATCCGCATTCGCAAGATGCTAAGGGGGTCTATCGGTAATCAACCCTTCATGTATTTACTTTTTAAAATTTTGCAGTATCCTATGATTGCACTCATTGAGGTGCTCCGCTGGAAGTATTGACCAAATAGCTAACAGAGAATCCACTGAATTTGAGTGCTTTGTTAATTAAGTCATCTTCATACCTCATCTCAATTGCGGGTGGCAAGAGCACCGGGAAGCGTTGGACTTATCATTGGCCTTACTAAAACAGCTGTCTGGTGGTACGAAATAATACGTTTTACGTATTTATTTAGGCTGGAACTAGAAACTACCGAAGAAGCTTCGGACTTTACCTAATTTGGCTATAGTACTAAAAAAATCCCTTCACTACATATTATAAAAACGGTAGGCACAAGTTTGGCTAACATTCAATAATAGAGAATTTGCTTGGAATTTCTGGATAGTTAACATGATAATTAATATAAATAAAACTCAGACATCTTCCATGTTTACACCGACATTGTTATTAAAATGCATGTTCTTGTTTAATTACATAGATAAATAAATGCCGGTTCCGGAGTATTAATTACATGATTCTTATTCTTTTGACTGCCCAAATTCACAAATAATCTAACGTGTAAATTTTAGAAAATCCCTCTTAAATTTGGGTGTTAAACTAGTTCTCTTACTGATCAATTTATAGGTGCAAAAGATGTTTCCGTTTTTCCTTCTCTGAGAGTAAAACAAGGCTTCGGACACAAATGTGTAATCTGATTCTTCAAGGTAAAAGTGGAGAAGGGAAAAATAAGAACCTTGAATTACCAAGGGGGAAAGAAAAAGAAAAGAAAAAGAGCCTGAAATTGAATTAGGTGACTAGAAAATAGAAAATTCGATAGTGTTTTAGAACAAACATTGCATTATCTTCATCCAAAATCAGAATACTAAAAACTTCAGATTATTCGGATTCCTTTTCAGCAACTGATAACACTTGATATAAATATAAAGGGAAGGATTCAGATCCTCTCCACTACAAAAAAAATAGTGGATGGACCACTACATAATCACAGCCATTGATTATCTAGTTGATGGTTATGATTTTTTTTTAGTGCAAATTAGGAATGAGTGCAATACACGGGGGTATGGTAAGTGTTAGATTTAGATTGTATCATAACCGCCTACTAAATAATCAATGCTTGAGATTAAAAGTAGTGGTCTCTCCACTACTTTTTTGTAGTGGAGATGATCCAAATCCTAAAGGAAAAATGTGTCAAAGGATGTGGCCAGCCACCCACCCCCCCTTATTTTTTTTGGGTGACAAAGCTCCCAACCCAAGAATTAGTTATGTTTCAGCCCTCTTTTACATTTTCAAGACAGCACATGAAGAGAGAATGCCAAATCCCTAAAATACCCTTAACCATTTCCCCCAAAAACTTGTATGCCCTCTCTCTCTTCTCTCTTCTCACGCTAAAAGCAGATTGCCTCAGAGATGCGTTCCTACCCTCGCAGACGAGAGCGACGCAGCGGCGAAGCTCCTTGCGTGCTGTAGTGGGCGGGAGGAGGCGGAGGGCTTCATAGGCCAATGGTGGGAGGAGTCCCTCCCGATATCGGCGTGGCCAGTGGCAGGAAGAAGCAGAGGCGGAGGGCAACAACCGAAGATCTTGGCCAGTGCTAAGGGACGAAGGAGCGAGCGTGTGCCTCGTGTCCCATCATCGGTGCGGCCGTGGAGGAGGAAGCAGAGGCGGGGGTATCCCTTTTTCCCCTTCAAGTGTTGGCGGAGCTCGAAGGCCTTTGACCTCAGACTCTATCACCAGTAGCTTTGATAATGGTGAATTGTGCAATTCTGAGGATTTGAGAATGCATATGAAGAGAATAGCAGATTCTCAGAGCCTATCCAGTGTGACTATGGATTGTGCTAATTTGTTGAATAATGGGGTAGATGTGTATTTAAGAAGACTGATTAAGTCATGTGTTGAATTAGTCGGAGCAAGATCAGTGCATGTTCAAATGAATACACAAGTCTACAAGCATGTTCAAATGAATTTAGTTGTTTCTCCTTGATTGCTTGCATGTTCAAATGAATACACAAGTCTACAAGCATGTTCAAATGAATTTAGTTGTTTCTCCTTGATTGCTTGCTTATTTCCTTGCATCTTTTCTTTTCTAATGAATTTAGTTGTTTCTCCTTGATTGCTTGCTTATTTCCTTGCATCTTTTCTTTTCTGATGCTCTTCTCAGAGCTTGTAGGTTCTTCCTTTAGTTAGAAACATTACGAGGAGTTACAAGGAGTTGTCTGCGAGCATTAATGTTCATACGAATGCAATGTAAAATTTCAAGATCAAATATTTGTTTGGGTTTTTGGTTAGGGGTTGAGGAGGTTGGGGGACTAGGAGGGGGCGAAGATCGTCGAGAGGGATTATGAGGAGTGGGATGTTCATGGGAAGTGGGGGAAGGTTGAGGAGGGGGAGGAGAAGATGGGGGTTGTAGGTGTTTGATGAAATGCCCAAGTAACTTAGTTTTTCATTTGTTTTTTTCCAGGAGTTGGACACGATATTACATTCTACGCCGCCACCAGAACAAAAGTATCAGCTGCGAAGATCAAACTTAGTTTCTTTCTAAAGAATGCATGTATACTAAATTGTGTAGATTTGCATGGAGATTCGAGTGGTTTTTGTAAGATATTTGTATAAGAAAACATGTCTGAACTTGTGATATGTTAGCTATTTTATGTGGTTGTACTCGAAACTAAGTAGGAGAATGACCCATAATTGTGGGCTTGAACGATTTACATATGTTTAACTTTCATCATAATATGTTAACTTTCTTCGTAACATGTTAACTTTTACCATAATATGTTAACTTTCTTCGTAACATGTTAACTTTCAGCTGAACATGTTAACTTTCATCATAATATGTTAACCTTTACTATAACACGTTAACTTTCTGCTATATATGTTAATTTTTATTCTAACATGTTGACTTTAACATGAGCATGCTAACTTTCATTTGAAGACGATAACTCTCAGCATAGCATGTTAACTTTTAGATGTAAGAAAATGATAATATGCTGCTACAAAAATGATAATATGCTACTACGAAAATGCTATTGTGTACTCAAGCAATGTCAGTTGTAAGAATGTAAGAAGTTTTGTGTAATGTACTTGTTTAGCTGGGGTATATTATTTGTATTTTCTATAAAATGTCTTGGTGCTACAACTACTTTCAGTTGGATAACTTTTAGCTAAACATGTTAACTTTCATTTGACTACGTTAACTTTGAGATGAACATGTTTTATTATAACTGTACACGTTGACTTTCAAATTCTATAGACTTTAAAGTAAAGATGTTAACTTTCAACTGAATATATTAAATTTAAGCTAAAAATATTTACTTTAACCTGAATATATTTACTCTCAGCTGAACATGTTAACTCTCATCTGTATGTGTTAACTTTCAAATGTATATGTTAACTTTCAGGTATATATGTTAATTTTCACATGAACATGTTAACTATCAGCTGTATGTGTTAACTTTCATCTGCATATATTAACTTTCTTATGAACATGTTATATTTCAGCTCTCCGTGCTAACTATCAGCTGAATATGTTAACTTTCATTATAATATGATGAACGTTAACATGTTCAGTTAAAAGTTAATATGTTTTGAAGAAAGTTAACATATTATGGTAAAAGTTAACATGTAATAGTGAAGGTTAACATATTATGATGAAAGTTAACATGTTCAACTGACAGTTAATATGTTATAAATAGACACAATATATTTTATTAAATTTTGATCTAAGAACAACCAAACCACAAGAACACATAGTATAATCAACTAAACAATAAAACATGATACGTGACTCCCCAATGGTCTTGCACCCTAAGCATAAACCTCACCATCGGGGCCCTCGTCATCCCGTCCCTAAGCACAACGCTTTGGGCCCCACCTGACTCCCCGATGGCCTTGCACCATCTGTTCGTGCTCGCAACCAAATACCCTTCGGTCGTGGCCATCGACACGTAGTAAGTCCTCCCATCCAAAACCAGCGGGCTCGCGATGCCAACGGGCAATGCGACGAACCCAACCGGCATCTCCCAACACTGGCTGAGGATGGAGGCGTAATCGAACCCATCAAGAGGTAGATCGTTGAGATTTCTGCCTGTGATTCTCCTTAAGGCCTCGCGTCGAACACCTGCAGTGCGTTTGTAGTCTCCCAATTTGGACTCCAATGAATAAGATGGGGTCGTACCCATGACCACTGATTCGATGATCTCTTCGTCTTCAACGGGGATTATTGAAATACCGCCGTTGGGTTTCTCGCCGCGGGCGGTGGCGGCGATCAGGAGAAATTTACGGCCAAGAAGAAAAAAAGAGGGAAAATGCATCTTTTTGTGGGGAACGACATAATAAATATGTAAACATTACCTGTAGAACAAAAAACATGGCCAAAAGAAAAATGTGATAGAATGAAAGAGAAAATTTGACGTCATACAAAAAAGAAAAAAATTAGAAGGAAGAGAAAAATATAGGGACAAAAGGGATAAAAGTACATGTATCTTGAGGAAATTGAGATCCTCTTGTTTACTGATACCTTCAACTGAGAAGAGGAAGAAGAAGTGAAATGAGTCTCAGAATAAGTAAGATGAACAGAGTGCTTCAGAAGACTAAGAGGCTAAAGAAGTGAAGAAGAAGAAAGAAAAAAACAAAGGAAAAACCCAAAAACTAAGAGGCTAAAGCAGTGAAGAAGAAGAAGAAGAAAGAAGAAGAAGAAACGAAATAGATCAATGACAGTTTTGGGTTTTGAACAAATGTTTGTCACTGCATTGTGTTTGGAAGCTAAATAAGGGCTGAAACACAAGTGAATGTTGTATTGGAGGCTTTGTCACCCAAAAAATAATTTGGGCTGGGGGGGGGGCTTTGACACATTTTTCCCAAATATAAAACTGGAATTAAATATAAGTTACCAACAACTGCATATTCCCCTCAATTGTTTACAATTTCCTGTCAACGAAACCATGGGAACAAACATGGGCCCGTATCAAAATTTTGAAGCTTCTGCAGAACCAATCAAACCACATGACTGGTGCCCTTACCCCAACAATCTTAAGGGCGGTGAGCAGATGCCTTTAGGGTGGTCAAAGAAATCAAAAGTCAAACACGGAAATATGGCGCCCCCATGCCCTAGCCTGTCGTCATGAACTATGGTTTCCAATCACTGAAAATAGTTAAAGGAATGTTTATCGCCATAAAAACTTTATAAATAAACGAGCAAATTTGACCCGCGCCATACCGTGAGAATATTATGGAGACAACAACGAAAAATAATTTAAATATTTAATTTAAAATACATCGTATCTAAAAGTTGGAACAAAAATGAGTTAACTTACCAAATTGGTATTTGCTATTTTTGGGGTTAGTTGATTTCTCCAGCTTAAATCTCTACGTTCTCATCTAAAATTCTGTGGCATCATCTAGAAATAGCCACTTCAGCCTTCTAACACCCTTAAGATTACATCGAGTGAAGTCACATGCTACTTACTCGCATAAATTTGTCCAACGATGAAAAAATAGGTCTATATGCACTTTTGGTTGACTTTTAATACTAAAAAGTCATCGAAGAAACTTTTAATATCAAACCGGTTTAGGGGGATAATTAAAAAAAATAACAATTTAGTGGTTTAGCTGAGTAAAAATATAGCAAATTAATAGTAAAAAATAATAATCTACACTGTATATGGAGCTGCTGAAATATAAAATGGATTTAAATATAATTTGATTGAATGTTTCCTGTGTGGGAGTGATTTTGGAAGTATGCGGATTTAAAAATAAATGGCTATAGAACTTGGGTTTATAGACAAAAAAATATTTTTAGAGGCAATGTGATATCAAAAATGAATATGAATAATATTTTAGGTTTACAGGGCTAAAAGTTAATATCTCTATGTGTCACAATATTACTGTGATAAAATTCAAAAAATAGGCTAATTAAGTATTTGGTTCAAAAATACATTATATTCCTAATGCTTTAGAACAAAGATATATGATAGAAATTCACAATGTATATCAATCTATTAAAATATAAAGTGGGTTTAACATTAGTTTGAAGGCGTATTTTGGGATCTAGAAGAAGTTGAGAGTATGACATGTTTAAACATAAGTGAAGGTAAGACTTTGAACATATATGCAGAAGATCCTTTTAGGAAGTGGGTGAAATTAAAAGTAAATGAGGATACAATCTGCATTACTACGCAAATAAAGTTCTCGATAACGCTCATTAGCATGAAAAATGCAAAAATATAAAATTTAAATATTTGGTTTAAGAATACATCCTAAACTTAGCCACTCACAACAAAAAATTATAAATTAACAAAAGCTATTTACCTATATAGGAAACTGCTAGTGTAAAAGTGATTTTTGAAGTAGCTAGATTTAAAAATAAATGGGGCTAAAACTTTGGGTTTATGGGGAAATAATTCATTTTAGAAGGGGATGAATTTAAAAATAAATGATGTTCAAACTTAGGGCATATAGAAAAATACCTATCTACAGTTCAGTACCCAACTATGATGGTAGAATTTTAAATATAATGTTTTAAGAATTTGGTGTAATATGTCACATCCCTAATCACTTGGAAAAGATATATAGCAAATTAAAGTGAAATATAGTAGCTTAAATCATATGTCAAATACAAATTGAGTTTAAAAATAAAAGTTTTATAATACTTTTGAGTCTAAAAGTAAACTTGGAAGTGAGTTTTAAAATAAATAAAGCTTAAACTTTGGGTTTATAGGTTAAAAATCCTTTTTGGAAGTGTGTGGGCTTAAAAATAAACAAAAACAAGCATTTGGATGTAGAAAACATGACAGAAACAGGAAATTTGAAGCTGGGAAGAGACTACAGGTTTCTCTCGGGTCGGTCGACCGACGACATAGGCTCAGTCGACCGACAACCTGTTGGATTACATGGTCTGAAACCCTATCTCTGCTTGGTCAACCGAACGAGTTCGACCGGTTGACCGAAAACGTGCAAATTATAGAAACTTAGAATCTGTCTCTGGCCGGTCGACCGGTGCAACCCCTACGGTTGACCGAAAAGCTGATACGGGCCTGATTTATTTCCTGGCCTGTTTTAGATTGGGTCTTGATATAAATAAAAACACACGTTTCTAGGGTTTCTTAACCAGAGAATTAACATTGTTTTGAGTAGTTTTGTGAGGAAGATTATTGTGAGGGAGTGTGAGATCATTGGTTGGATTATTTTTTGAGAGTTATTTGAGAGATTGTAACCCGTTGTTTCTCCTTCATATAGTAAAATCTTCCTATCCTCTCCCTGCGGACGTAGGTAATTTGCTGAACCACGAAAATCTCTATGTTTGTGTGATTTTGATTGTTAATTTTGTGAATTGCACTCGTGTTTGGTTCTTCTCTCATCGCTCACCGACTTGGTTGGTTTGCGAGCACACTTCCGCACGACGTGCAACAAGTGGTATCAGAGCTTAGATTTTTAGATCTAGGGTTTTGCATTGGGTGGAGGAAGATTCGCTATTGGAAGCTTAGGTCTTGGAGATCTAGGTTTCGGTGGAAATAGCTTTGCGGAGTTGCCATTGGAGATCTCACTTTTCCTCGTGTGGTTAGAGATCATGTTGGAACCCTATCTAGGGTTTAGTTGGGTAATTTCTCAATTCTATCAAGTTCGAATTTTACTTTACAATTGGAGTTAGTTTGTAATAGGAGAAGAAGTTGGTGAAAGCAGCAAGGCGATGACGAGTATAATTCTGGTTGTACTTCAGAATATAAAGATTAGTTTTGTGAAGTACGATGGCTAAATCAACTTTGGTTTGTGGATGAACAACGTACAGGACGCTTTAAATGCTCAAAATTTGGAAGAGACCATCATGGTTCATGAGAGGCCAAGAAATACGATGAGGCGCTATGGGACAAGATGAATAGGAATGCTTGTGGTTGATCAGGTCTTGTTTGGAACAAGATCTGAAATACGATATGATTGGTGTGACGTCTGCGATGAAGATGTGGGAGAGTCTTAACAACAAGTACCTTACGAAGAGTATTGAGAATCGGTTGCACTTGCTACAAAGATTATTCAGATTCCAGATGTCCAGGGGCACCTCACTTGCGACTCATATGAACAACTATACAAAGTTATTGTCGGGCTTGGCAAACGTGGATGAGAAGATAACGGACGAGTATAAGATAATTATTTTGTTGGGTTCCTTACCCGATGAGGAGTATGATAACTTCGTGCTCACTTTGTTGAATGGTAGATCTTCCATCACCTACAGTGAAGTGACTAATGCATTGACGAACTACGATTTAAGGAGGAAGGACAAACAGACTTTCCGAGCTAGCACTTCAGGAAAGGCCTTGTCGACTAAAGGAAGAAGTCCATATCCAAGAGGTGACAATAGAGACAGGTCAAAGTCAAGAGGCCACCACCAATTAGCGAAGAACCAGTGTGCGTTCTGCAAAGAACAATGATATTGGAAGAGAGATTGCCCGAAGCTTAAAGAGAAATAGAATAGCAAAAAAAAGGGCTCGAAGGCTAATGAGGTGAACGTCGCTAGAGGTGATGATTCTGATAATTCATGCTTTTCTCTATTGATTACTTCAGAGGTGAACCATGTGATGCATCTGATTGGATGCTAGATTCTGGTGCTACTTATCATATGACTCTCCTGTAGGCGTTGAGATCCGACAACAACGGCGAGTATACTTCAGACCCCTTTCAACAGCTATGTCGATATGAGGGCATAGAGAGACACTTCATAGTTAGTCATACGTCGTAGCAGAATGGAGTGGCAGAGAGATTGAATCGATCTTTACTGGGGAATATCCGATGTTTGTTATCGCAGAGTGGTTTGGAGAAGATCATTTGGGTTGAGGCACTTTCATATGTAAGCCACCCCATTAATAGGCTACCTGCATCTGCAATAGAGGAAAAGACTCCAATGAATATGTGGCCGAGAGAGCCAGGAAGCGATTATGATTTGCTCAAAGTATATGGGTGCCGTACATTTTATCATGTGAGGACTGATAAATTGGAACATCGAGCTAGAAAAACCATATTTGTTAGATTCAAGTGTGGTGTGAAAGGATACAAGCTTTGGGATCTAGTTGATAAGAAGATTGTGCTGAGTAGAGACGTTACTTTTAATGAGGCTTTGATCTTGAAGCTTCTCAGCTCTCATCAGGTGAAGAGCACCCCGACAGAGGAGATATCGTAGGTGGTAGAGATTAATGCAGCTTCACAATATCCAGATGGTACCGTATTCATTAGAGTGCTGACTGAGGTGACGCTAACCGAGCATAGTGATGATTTGGAGGATACAGGTTCAGCTCAGCAGAGCAGAATCACGAACCGACGGCTCAGGTTTAGGATTTGATTGTGGTTTGGAGACCTAGGAGAGACATACGGTTTCCAGCTAGGTATACGAATACAGTCATTGCTTATACACTTCCGGTGAAGAGTGTCGATGAGATGGTTCCGACTATATTCAGAGAGGCTGAGCAGAGTTCAGAGGCTGATTTGTGGCAGGAAGCCATGAGAGAGGAGATGGAATCTCTTCATAAGAACGACACATGGGAGCTTGTTGAGCTTCCAAAGGGGCGGAAGGCTATTGGTTGTAAATGAGTGTATACAAAGAAGGAGGGCATTGAAGGCACTCTGGTGAGGTCCAAAGCTAGGTTGGTAGCGAATGGTTATGCATAGAAAGAATGCATTGATTACAATGAGATCTTTTCTCCAGTGGTGAAGCACTCTTCGATTCGGATCTTGCTAGATTTGGTGGCACAGTATGATTTGGAATTGGATTAGTTGGATGTGAAAACAATATTTCTTCATGGCGATCTTAATAAAAAAATCTATATGACTCAGCCATTGGGTCTCGAGCTATAGGGAAGGAGTAATTGGTTTGCAGATTGAAGAAATCGCTATACGGTTTGAAGCAATCTCCGCGATAATGGTATAGGCGATTCGTTGGGTTTATGCTCGGTCATTCATACATTATGAGCCAGTTTGATCCTTATGTGTACTATCACAAGTTACGAGAGGTGCGTACATTTATTTGTTATTTTATGTTGATGATATGTTGGTTGCTTATATTTCCAGATCTGCTATAGATGAGTTTAAGGTACAACTTTCGAAAGAGTTCGAGATGAAGGATTTGGGTGAAACGAAGCGCATTTGGGGATGGAGATCGGCAGAGACAAAGATATGGGCAGAATTAGTTTGACACAGGTGGCTTATTTGAAGAAGGTACTACAGCGGTTTAATATGAGTATGGAGACGAAGCTAGTTAGTGTACCATTGGGAGCTTATTTGAAGCTTTCAACTGACCTTTCACTAAAGAAAGTTGAAGATAGAGAGTTGATGTCGAAGAGTCCATATGCGAGCGTAGTGGGAAGTTTGATGTACGCCATGGTTTGTACGAGGCTGGATTTGTCACAGGTAGTGAGCATGGTTTCGAGATACATGCATGACCCTGGTTCGAATCATTAGGATGCTGTGAGATGGATTTTGAGATACATTTGAGGTACTCTCAATGTTGGTTTGATTTTTGAGCGAGACACTAGTGGTGGGCAACTATGTATTGGATACGTAGATTCGGACAACGCTGGAGATTTGGATAAATGCTGGTCGACGACGGGGTATGTGTTCACTTTGACCCGTGCGTCGGTGTGTTGGAGATGCACCTTATAGTCTACTGTGGCTTTGTCAATGACGGAGGTAGAGTATATGATGATTACAAAGGCTGTTAAGGAGGTGATTTGGCTTCAATAACTTTTGGAGGATCTTGGTGTTTTGCCGATCCGTCATCATTTATTGTGATAGCATGAGTGCTATTTATTTGGCGAAGAATCAGGTCTTTCATGCGAGGACGAAGCATATCGACGTTTGTTATTACTTCGTTTGAGATGTTCTTGAAGATGGGGATGTGGAGCTCGTGAAGGTCCACACAAAAGATAATCCAGCGGATATGCTCACGAAGGTGGTCTTGAGTAATAAGTTTGATCATTGTATAAATTTATTACAAATTCGTGATTGTTGAGGCCGTTTGCAGCCATTTGGATGAACTACGGGTGACTTGATCCCTTGGAAGAGAGGGTACGTAGGTAGCCTCATTGGTGCAGTCAGATTTGGTGAGATGATGCATTGGTGCTTATGTTGGTGTTGGCTCAGTTTTGGGAACACTTCACCGAGGTGGAGAATTATAGAAAACACGGCGAAAACAGAAAATTTAAAGCTGGGAAGGAACTACAGGTTTCTCTCGGGTCAGTCGACTGTCGGCACAGGCCCGGCCGACCGACAGCCTGTTGAATTACAATGTCTGAAACGTTGTCTCTGGTCCGTCGACCGAACGAGTTCGACCGGTCGATCGAAAACGTGCAAATTATAGGAACTTATAATCTGTCTCTGGTCGGTCGACCGGTGCAACCCCTGCGGTCGACCAGAAAGCGGATACGGGTCGGATTTATTTCCTGGTCTATTTTGGATTGGGTTTTGATATAAATAGAAACATACGTTTCTAGGGTTTCTTAACCAGAGAATTAGCATTGTTTTGAGCAGTTTTGTGAGGGAGCTTATTGTGAGGGAGTGTGAGATCATTGGTTGGGTTATTTTGAGAGTTATTTGAGAGATTGTAACCCGTCGTTTTTTCTCCATATAGTGAAATCTCCCTATCCCCGTGGACGTAGGCAATTTGTCGAACTATGTAAATCTTTGTGTTTGTGTGATTTTGACTGTTAATTTTGTGAATTGCACTCGTGTTTGGTTCTTCTCTCATCGCTCACTGGCTAGGTTGGTTTGCGAGCACGCTTCCGCACGGCGCACAACATTGGATTTATAGGTAAAATATCTTACCTTGGAACCTACACTGTATAGCAAATTCATGAAATACAAAGTAGGTCCGCAAATAATTCATTAGGGTAATTTTAAGCCTAATAATGATTTTGAAAGTAGTTGGATTTAAAAGTAAAAGACCTCTCAGCTTATAGGTAAAAAAACTTCTTATATTGTCCTTTATTATATTATTTGATTAAAGCGATGGTGCATTTTGGGCTTAAAAGTTTTGAGTGAGTGGATTTAAAAGTAAATTGGATCACACAACTGGATTTTGAAAAAGAAAGCAATTTGCTATTATTTATTTTAAGGTTAGTGTAGTATTCGAGTTGCCGCGCTACAGCACAAACCCATTGTTCATTTTATTGTCAATGTAGATCATTGAGGTGGGTAGGCTTAATGAAGCATTAGTTATAGCAATGGGTATAGACAAAAGCCCTATTATTAATTGTTATTTTTAACTATGAGTTATTGAGGGGTACTATAGAATGAACAGTGGCAAAGTATAGTACTAACCTCAATAATTTTAGTGTATAGATAAATAAGCTGAGAACACTCATCCAAACATACTTATATATAGTTAACACTAAATTAATTTTTAATGGGATATGGAAAAACAATAAAGAACTTTTCCAAGAAATGTATGTAAACCTCCAAAAAATTATTTTTAATGGGTTTATTATATTTGTTGGAAAAGAATCAAACAAGCCCTCAGAGGAAAAATGATTTTTTTCTTTAATTACTTCATATATAGTTAACACTTAATTAATGACAATTGCATCCATATCCCTTTGATCCAAAAAAATCTATGCTTCCAATCCCTATCCTATGTGAACTTTTAAAAATTTCCAAAGCACTCTCTTCTTCATTTCTTTTTCCTCATATTTTCCATCCTTTCCCCCCCTCATTTATCTTCGAAATCCCACAGAAGTGCCTACCATTGTCGATCTTAATAAAAAATTTAAATAAGACAGACTGTTAGCTCAGTTTGTCCACACTTTTGTTCAATTATTAGCATAGGATTTGTTAAAATCTAGAATGCAAGCTAAAATCGGAAGCTTCTTCGATATAGCTTCCAATTCCAGCCTAATAAGTTCACAAGATACGTAGCAAAATATAATAATAGAATTAAATTTTAAAAAATAATAGTAGAAATCATGGGACTACGCGGCAACCATTGTTGCCAGCCTACAGCCATCTCAATCGCGATCGAGTAACACCCTACAAAAATCTTTTATTACTTCTCAATTAATTAGTTCTTGTTACTCGGAACCTCACATCTATAAACAGCCCGCAATTAGAGGAAGCTAGCACTCAAACTCAAATCACTTAACGATACTATTAATCCAGTAATATCTCCAGTGATGTCTCCTTCTACTTCAATTCCAAGGCTAGCATTCTCTCTAGCGCTAGTGTCCTCTTCTTTCCTCATAAGCTTTTCCAGTGCTGGTAGCTTCACCGATAACATCAGAATCAGTTGGGGCGATGGCCGAGGAAAGATTTTCGACAGCGGGAAGCAACTATCTCTATCTCTGGACCAGTACTCTGGCTCTGGCTTCGAATCCACGCACGAGTATCTCTACGGCAGGCTCGATGTCCAGATCAAGCTTGTCGCTGGAAATTCTGCGGGCACGGTCACCACATTTTTCGTAAGCTAATCTTGGCTTTCTCTTGATCTCCAATTTGTTAGCAGTTAAGATCATTTTTAATTGATTTGGTATTTGTTTACAGTTATCATCGCAAGGACCGACACACGACGAGATTGATTTTGAATTCCTCGGGAATGTGACTGGAGAGCCTTATACTCTGCACACCAATGTGTTTGCTCAGGGGAAGGGCGACCGAGAGCAGCAGTTTCACTTGTGGTTCGACCCCACCAAGGATTTCCACACTTACTCCATTCTCTGGAATCCACAACATGTTATGTAAGTAACTAACTCGATCGCTCAATCAATTCAATATACGGAAAAAAATCCTAATGACTGCCTGGCCCATTTTCCAGTTTCTTGGTGGATAATATTCCGATCAGAGATTTCAAGAATCACGAGTCAAGGGGGGTATTCTTCCCAAAGAAACAACCAATGAGGCTCTACTCGAGCTTGTGGAACGCAGATGACTGGGCTACCCAGGGCGGGCTCGTGAAGACAGACTGGGCTCAGGCTCCCTTCACGGCCTACTACAGAAACTTCAATGCCGACGCTTGTGTTTGGAACGGGGCCTCGTCTAGCTGCTCTTCTGGAGATAAACCCATGGATTCAACTTCTTCATCGTCGAGCCATGGAGATTGGTACAGGCATGAGTTGGACTCGTATAGCTATAGGAGGATGAGATGGGTGCAGAGGAAGTACATGGTCTACAACTACTGCTCTGATGTTAAGAGGTTCCCCAGAGGACTTCCAAGAGAGTGCAGGCTCAGATGAAGTCGAAATGAGTGATCGTGGATTTGTATATGAATACTGTTTTAATTCGCGTAAATTGAATCTGTTTGTTTCTTGGGAAAATTGCTTGGAGGAACCAAAAAAAGTTGGCTCAAGCATCCTCCTCCCCAGCCCCAAAACTCTAACCCCCAAGCCCTAAAATTGAAAAAAAAGTGCAACCAAGCCCCAAACCCACTGTCCAAGAAAACAATTCCCAAATTACCCTTCTTCCCCATTTAAAACACAATCTACTTCATCCTCCTAAAATCTGGCCAAAGACCTCCCCCTTCCCCCTCATCCGCATCCTCTCCTCCTCCCCCTTCCCTTTCCTCCCCGACCCCTTCCTCGCCTCCGTCCGCCTCCCCTTCCCCTCCTCCTTCCTCCTCATCCACATCCTCTCCTCCTCCCCCTTCCCCCTCCTCCCCGACCCCCTCGGCTCCGGCTGCCTCCTCCCCTCCTCCCCTACCCTCCGGATAAGAAGAAGCCGAAGGCGAAGAATATGCTGCCGTCGTCGAAGGAAGGCCGGGGGGGCGCAGTTTATGCAGATCCTGTAGCATTTGCCACGTGGATGAAAGTCCCAAAGAGATGGATAAACTCTAATAATGGAGATTGATTTTGCTGCTCGTGAGCTGCTCGTGAGAACAAAATGGAATGTTATAAGAAAAAACAAATCAATCAAAAAAATCATCATCGTCATCATCTAAGTGCGTGTTTATATGGATTCTTGGGTAATTCCGTGTTGATTTTGTTTGTTATTGAAGAGAACCCATTATTAGATTTAGTTCTAGGCCTATTGATCAGAAGGAAATTCATTTTGGGTTTTTGCATTAAAATATGTTCGAAAACTGGGGGAAAACTAAGGAAATTGGCCATGCATATCTAAATTTGAAACTACAGGTATCCAAGGGGGAGAGGTGACGACCTCGTGGCAGTAGCGATGGAGCATGTAAGTCAAGATGAGTATTTATTTGTTTTTTTTGGCATTAAAATATGTTCGAAAACTGGGGGAAAACTAAGGAAATTGGCCATGCATATCTAAATTTGAAACTACAGGTATCCAAGGGGGAGAGGTGACGACCTCGTGGCAGTAGCGATGGAGCATGTAAGTCAAGATGAGTATTTATTTGTTTCGGGGGGCAAGACGGGGAGGAAGAAGAAGAAGAAGGCGAAGAGCGTGGAGACGTATTCTAGAAGCTGGCCCATGAGGCCTCCCTCCTTGCCCGCTACAACAAGAAGCCCACCATCACCTCCCGCGAGATCCAGACCTCCGTCCGCCTCGTCCTCCCCGGGGAGCTCGCCAAGCACGCCGTCTCCGAGGGCACCAAGGCCGTCACCAAGTTCACCAGCTCCTAGGCCTAGCGCGGCTCAAGGGGTTTTCCTCTTTTGATTAGTATTTTTCTTGTTTTTTTTGTCGCTGTTTAGTTGCTATCTCTAGTGTAATTATTTCCTTTTATGCCGTGGATCAAGGGAAAAGCGCGCTTTTTTGTTTCTCTCGATGCCTGATTAGTGAGTGATTTCTGTGGATTAGAAGTAATTTATTGTGTTGGTTATCCTTCAAAATCGAAGGACGTGACCTTTATGTTTCGTTTGTAGACTAATTGGTTACGTCTGAAATTGCTCTCATCTTTTTCTCCTCTTGTTTCTCTCTGAATGGTTCGGTCTTTAGAAGAATCTAATTTGTGCCAATGTGATTGTGATGTTTAAAAGCAATAAAAGGAAAGTATACATTCATTGTAGGAGTGACAACCAAAAATTCGAACCCTAGGAGAAAAAAATAGCCACTACAAAGAAGTGGAGAAAACTCTTTTGATTCCATAAAAGGAGACAGCTCTTTTTAGAGGTGGTGGGGGAGAATTATTTATCTGAAATTGAGGTATTCAATAATTGGTAAAGATAATTGTGGGTTAATATTAGTGTATAGATTAGGATGAGAATGTAATTAAATTTCTTAATTCTAATATAACCTAAATACAATTTATTTCCTTATCTTTATACTATGTATATCTACTAGGAATTTATTAATTTCCCAGTCTAATGATGGATTAGTATTAAAAATTCAAATTTGATTAGTGATAGGATAGTTCAAACTTTATAGGGATATTTTTGTCTACCAAAAGATTTTTCCGAACTTATACTTTTAAAGGGAGTATGACTAGTATTGCACGTATTTTGCACGTGGACACAATAATCACTGCTGAAAAATTAGCCATCCTAGACGGAAAATTCCGTCTAGGATAGACAAAATTCCGTCTAGGATGCGTATCCTAGACGGAATTCCGTCTAGAATACCCGTCTAGGATGTTTCCATCTAGGATGTCGTATTCTAGACGGAAATTCCGTCTAGAATATATCTTAGACGGAATATTCTAGACAGAATTAAAAACCGTCTAGAATACATCCTAGACGGATTATTCTAGACGGAATTTCCGTCTAGAATAATTCATTCTAGACAGAAAAAATTTTCGTCTAGAATGAGTATTCTAGATGAAAATTCCGTCTAGAATACTCATTCTAGACTGAAATTGATGTTTTTTATTTTTTTTGCCAAAAAAAATATTCTAGACGGAATTTGAGCATCCTGGACGGAATTCCCGTCTATGATACTGTGCTACAGTATTTATTTTTTTTGCAGAATCCACTTTCAATGCATGTACACAATATTGAACAACAACAAATTATATGAATATTCATCATAATCTAATTATATTCCAATATCAAATCCAATTATATTCAAATAATACATAAATTGTTTACAAACTTTTACATAAATTATTTACAATGGATGTCAGTGCATCGGCAAACAGGTCTAATAATCTCTATTAACAAAAAGAAACGCGATACATAAATTGTTTATATAGATAATAACTAATTTCCTATTTATATGTTTATTTACAATCGGAACCGCAGAGAACTTTCAATGCTTCAAGTCATAATTAGTATTACACTCAGCATATTGAGGGCTTCTAATTCAAATTGCTAAACTATTTGGGTGTTGTATGTGATATTTGATGGGTTGAGATTATAGCTTAGTTATTCAATGTTAAATGAGATGTTTGGTAACTTTCATTTGCAGTCAAATGTCACGTATAATCTCAACCCATCAAATATCACATACAACACCCAAATATCACATACAACACTCAAACGTCACGTGTAAACAACAAATGTCACAGGCACCACCCAAATATCACATACAACACCCAAATGTCACATATAAACAACAAATATCACAAGCAACACTTAAATATCACATACAACACCCAAATATCACGTGTAAACAATAAATGTCACAGGCAACACCTAAAATATCACATAAAACAACCAAATGTCACGTATAAACAACAAATGTCACAAGCAACACCCAACTATCACATACAACACCCAAATATCACAAATCAGATCTAAATATCAAATATAAGGTAGAACTGTCACGTGTAAGATTGAATTGTCACATATAACATTGAAATGGACGCTTGATTTCTTTTTTCATTTACCACAAACAATGTTTCTTTTTTCATTTACATATAACATTGAGTGTTGCTTACATTAGAAAGACTGCAAATGAAAGTTACCAAACATCTCATTTAACATTGAATAACTAAGCTATAATCTCAACCCATCATCCCATTTCCTTCGTAGAACCAATCTATAGCAATATGCAGTACAAACAATGAACACAAAACTCAAATTTAAAGCAAACAAATTTAAAACAGATAAAAATCATCTTTGCCTCGCCGCTAGATGCAAAGGCGTCGCCCCATTGTTATTGTTAACATTTATAAATCTAGAAAATCCCATGTAATTCAACTCCCTCATCACCGGCCCTGTCGACGACGGATCCGATGACCCCGATGAGGAGGCCACCGACACCGAGTGGTTCTGGAAGATGAGATCGAAGCCGTAACAGGTGCTTGATCCGAAGTCATTAAAATTGATCCGAGAAGCCGTAATAGGTGCTTGATACGAAGTACACGTATAACGTTCACATATAATACGTTAACGTCACATATGCGGTCTCAGTATCACATGTAACACCCAAAAGTCACAAATCAGATCTACATATCACATATACGATAGAACTGTCACATGTAGGATTGAATTGTCACATATAACATTGAAATATCACATTATATGTTTATTTATCACATTTACGGTTAACTGTGATACATATATGTTCCAAAAAATACCTCATTTTCTCATTCAACCTTGAATAACTAAGAAACATAACAACACTCCCAAATTAAACTCTAATTGGATCAAAATCATCCTTACGAATGATTTCAACCCATCAAACAAAAATACATCAGGATGTTACAATCCCAACCCATCATCTCATTTTCCTTCGTAGAACCAATCTACAACAATGTGCAGTACAAACAATGAACTCAAAACTCAAATTTCCTTCGCTAGCCACACCCACACCTGCATACACTAAACCCACAGAAGATAAAATAAGGATAAATCCCATGCCAAGCTCCGATTGAACTCTTGAGGATAAATTGCAATAGCAAAAAAGAAACGTTGTCCTGAAATCGCAAGAAAACTAGAACTACTTCCAAATATTTAAGAGTTAATCCAAACAAGCACAAGAAAAGATGAAACAAGACTCGGCGGAGACCAAAGAACAATTCCGCAACACAGAAGAAAATACGAGATGACAATTCCAGTAGACATATATCATACTAATCAAGACACTTAATTTCAAAAGTCGACTTTTTATTACAAAAACTACTACCCACCATAATAACCTACTGCTATTTCTAAACAAAATGAAATTCCAACAAGCAACCAAAAAGCAGCGAAACCCAGACCCTTGAATCCCAAACAACACCAGAGCACACGACCGGACCCAAAGCCCGGCCCAACGGTTCAGAAGCTGGTGAACTTACTGACGGCCTTGGTGCCCTCGGAGAAGGCGTGCTTGGCGAGCTCGCCGGGGAGGACGAGGCGGACGGAGGTCTGGATCTCGCGGGAGGTGATGGTGGGCTTCTTGTTGTAGCGGGCAAGGAGGGAGGCCTCCTGGGCCAGCTTCTAGAATACGTCTCCACGCTCTTCGCCTTCTTCTTCTTCTTCTTCCCCGTCTAACCCAAAATGAATTTCCTTCTGATCAATAGGCCTAGAACTAAATCTAATAATGGGTTCTCTTCAATAACAAACAAAATCAACACGGAATTACCCAAGAATCCATATAAACACGCACTTAGATGATGACGATGATGATTTTTTGATTGATTTGTTTTTTCTTATAACATTCCATTTTGTTCTCACGAGCAGCGGAATCAATCTCCATTATTAGAGTTTATCCATCTCTTTGGGACTTTCATCCACGTGGCAAATGCTACAGGATCTGCATAAACTGCGCCCCCCCGGCCTTCCTTCGACGACGGCAGCATATTCTTCGCCTTCGGCTTCTTCTTATCCGGAGGGTAGGGGAGGAGGGGAGGAGGCAGCCGGAGCCGAGGGGGTCGGGGAGGAGGGGGAAGGGGGAGGAGGAGAGGATGTGGATGAGGAGGAAGGAGGAGGGGAAGGGGAGGCGGACGGAGGCGAGGAAGGGGTCGGGGAGGAAAGGGAAGGGGGAGGAGGAGAGGATGCGGATGAGGGGGAAGGGGGAGGTCTTTGGCCAGATTTTAGGAGGATGAAGTAGATTGTGTTTTAAATGGGGAAGAAGGATAATTTGGGAATTGTTTTCTTGGGCAGTGGGTTTGGGGCTTGGTTGCACTTTTTTTTCAATTTTAGGGCTTGGGGGTTAGAGTTTTGGGGCTGGGGAGGAGGATGCTTGAGCCAACTTTTTTTGGTTCCTCCAAGCAATTTTCCCTTGTTTCTTTGATGATTTCGTTGAATTCTTGTGTAAGGGATGTTGATTTGGATGACCTTTTGTCATCCCGTACGTAATAAGAGCGAGGGTGTTCACTTTACTGTTTTCGTAAATATTTTCTACCATATTATAGTTTTTCCTAGTGTTACTCTAATGCGTTCTCTATTGTAAACTTGAGATGAGGCCCCTGTTCCCGAAAAAAGAATTCAATTCTGTTTGGGTTAGGGTGTCAAAGCAAAGGTCTAATATTTTTGTGTTTGACAAACAAAGAAGTGTCGAGTAAATTAGATTCCCCTTTTTCTAAAAATAAATCAACCTCAACCTTATTGAAAGAAGAAAATTGACTAATGAGATTATTACGTTAAAAAAATTCAATTATAATTTGCATTCATCTAAACAATTTTTTAAGTTATTGATTGATGAGAAAGCTAATAAAAATCAATTTAAATTAAAAACATTATACCCTATGGTTATGTTAAATATAAATTGATAATAATTTTTTGATGTAGAACACACCATGAATATATTCATGGAAAAACTTGATGGGAACGGGGGTCCATACCCATGATCAATTAATATGGATTTAATCCATGGAAATTCTAAGGTGTATTGAAGCTCTTGAAAGTTGGCTACCTGTTCATATTCTGCATGCATTGATAGATTGTCTTTCTCCATGCACTGGGAGAAGGAAGGGCTGGTCTTTGGACTTTTCCATGCAACGAATGTGGTGTACCTAAGAGCAACATCCTCCCTACAAATAGAGGAGAGATGATGAAAGTTGACAACAAGAAGCAAGAAGAAGAGCCACATACAACATGTAATCCTCAACTGAGTTTGAGAGAAAGTGATCCTCAAGTTAAGTTATACCAATTTGAAAGAAGACCCCTTGTAAGCTTTCATTTGATTACAGTGGAAACGGTGAAGAAGGGGCGGGTGAGGACGTATGATCAAATTGAGTTGAACCTCGGTAAATCTTGTGTGTGTGCAATTTTTCTCTATGTTTGTTTTTCTCTTCTATTTTTTTGTTCTCATCTCATCACAAAGACGGGAAAGGTCTTGTTGTCCTATTTATTTCCTAACAGTGGTATCAGAGCAAGGTTGCTAATCTTCTTGTGTTGAGATGGAGACTCCCATCGGCGGTGTTCGAATGATCAGTTTGAATGGCCGTAATTGGATGATATGGAAGGCAAAGATGATGAATCTTATATATTGCAAGGACCTCTATGCGCCAGTTGAAGGTGAATCCTCCAAGCCAAAGTCTATAACGGCGGATTATTAGAAGAAGCTGGACCGGAAAACCATAGGCAACATTCGGCAATGGGTGGATGACACTATATTTCATCATGTGTCAAATGAGACTTCGACGAACAACTTGTGGAAGAAACTTGAAGATGTCTACGAAAGAAAGACCGCCGGCAACAAATCTTTCTTGATTCAGAAGCTTGTCAATCTCAAGTTTAAGGAAGGTGATTCTATATCTGAATATTTGAATGAAATTCAAAGTAATATAAATCAACTTGTAGTCATGAAGATGGTGTTGGAAGATGAGCTTCAAGCTCTTCTTTTGCTTAGCTCGTTACCAGATAGTTAGGAGACGCTGGTGGTGTCTCTTAGTAACTCCGCACCTGACGGAGTTGTATCTATGAACCAAGTTACAAGCAGCCTCTTGAATGAAGAAATAGGAAGAAAGTCATCTGGATCCTCTCATTCTCATGCTCTTGTTATCGAAAATAGGGGAGGAGCAAATATCGACAGTCTCAGAATCAAGACAAGTCAATAGGAAAATCAAAGGCTAGAAGGGATGATGCGGCATAATTATGTACCAAAAATTGCAAGTGCACAATTTATCAAGTTATAGTATAAAAAGATATCGATCCCACGAGGAAGGTGATTTCAAGAGATTATTAGAAATGGTTCTTATGTTTTGTGCATGACAATTAGGAATAAAGAATAAGTTGATAAGAACAACAACATGATAATAATCCTAGAATTCATAAGCATAACCTATCAAACCATTTAAGATAAGCATAGATTATCAAATTCTTCTTCTACCGATTAGTTCTCTAGTTGATTATCCTAACATGAACATTTTAAGTACAAGAGAATAATTCATACAATATAAAAGAAATTAGACTAGTTTCATACAATTCTAAGATTCCTACAAGAATTAAATTCACATCTTAAGAAATAAAAACAAGAAAAAGAAGACTAATTACAAAATTAAAAAGAAAAGAAAAATCTAAACTATGAACAAGAAATAAATCTAATTACAAAGAAAATAAAAATCTAAACTACAAAATAAATTGCAGAAATTAAATGCAAGAAAAATAAATCTACTCTACAAATTAAAGTGCAAAAAGAAAATAAAAAAGACAAGAAAGTAAATCTATACTACAAGCATGAATTTAAATCTAACTAATAAGCAATAATAAAGAAATTACTAAAAAGAAATAAAAGAGAAAAGAAATGCAAACCTTCAAATTGCTCTTCATCTCCATCCTCATCATTCAACAAGAGGAGAAAGAACAAATTTAAAGAGGAAAAAATTATTTTTATTAATTGCAACTAAAGTTATAATTTTTGGAAGGCCTTCTCAATTAAGAGTAGCCCTCCTCTCCAAAAGGAGTTTACAAAATTTTCACACCTCTAACCCCTTACTCTCTACCCCTGTTTATAGTAAACATTAGTGAATGAGAGTCATTGGATTGAAATCTTATCCAAAAACAACAAATTTTAGCCTTAGATTCGTAACAAACTGCCCAGCGTATCGATGAAGGCATCGATACAGGCATCGATGCAGGCATCGATGTCGGTATCGATGCAGGCATCGATGCCGCCATCGATGCAGGCATCGATGCCTGCCCTTCTCCTTTTGTTGACCGCAGCTTCTTCTTGTTGTTTGCTTTTGGGCTTTAGACATTGGGCTTTTCTTGGACTCTTGGGCTTGGGCTTTGATTTATCTCTTCATTAAATACTTGAAAGAATTCATTGGGCTTCATGGCTTCATTTCTTCATTAAATTATGGGCTTTTTGTTGAGAGATGAGGGTTTTGAGATTTATTCTTCATTAACCTGCAATTAAAGATAAAAATAATTATTAGTAGTATATTTATTCATATAAAAATAGATAATGAGGGTATAAAATTATAATAAAATATGATTATCAAATACCCCCATAACTAAACTCTTGCTAGTCCTCTAGCAAAGAAAGAAAAAGAAAATCCTAACTCACTTTCGCAGGAATCGCGGTTGTATTTAGCGCATACAACAAGCCTTTAAACCTCTAGGTTACCCTAGTGGACGAGTTATAGTCTTGTGAGGGTTTGCAGTGAATATACCCACAAAATTCGATCAACTTGCCAAGTTAAATGAGTCAATAAATAACAGATTTTCCTTGATATATTTAAACATTCTAATTGAAGCTAGTTAATGTAGGCATCGAAAATTGCCTATAGGTCTCCATGAACGGCTCAGTGTTAAGGAACGACGATGAACGTCACTATCCGGTTTACAGGAGTTCGATTGATGTTGATGAACGCTTGAAGTAAATCGACGAACTACGTGAACTAACGAAGATCTGGAATTTTAGAGAATTGGCGAAGCCCTGCCGAACTGAAGAGTGATCGAGTTCTTCAACACAAGAGATCGAAAGTCATCAGATCTACATCACCCGCATCCAATCCTTAGTATTATCCCGTTGTGGTAATTCTAAGAAGAGCAATTATCTCGCTTTTGTCGAGATAAGCGCTTCTGTTTCTAGATCTCCTCGCGGATCGACGAAGCTCTGGACCTGATCTGATTGCCAGGTAGTCCACGGATATCGACATCCCCGTCACAGGCTAAAGACCCACGCAAGCAAGAGACGACAAACGGATCTTGTGTTATTTTCGAGAAAGTTGTAATTTTTCTTCTTTTCTTTTGATTAAGATCTGAATTCTTTGTAAACACTAATATTATAATGAGTTCAGTAATGAAGGCAACTTTTACCGAAAACAGTTAATAATCAAGAAAACGTTTTTATATATAACTCCAATGTAAATCCCCTAGAAAATCTTTTTCATTATAGCAATACAAAACCAAGTCAAATCTTAGAAATTTAATTAAAAAGTTTTGAAAAGAACATGCTAACTCTTTGTTTTAAATAACTTTCAAGTCTCTTGATCAAAAATTATTTTTCAAGACCATATATACAAAACAACAATATATATATAAAAACAATGGTTAGTGTTATATATATATTGGTGATTGTTTTCTATTTTAACGGGCTTTCTAAGTGACAATATAACGAGTTTTGGGCTAATGAATCCCAACCCAGTTGGGCTTAGGTCATTAAGTATAGAGATACTCCTTGGGCTTAATTGCTCAGTATTAAGTATAGAGATACTCCTTGGGCTTAATTGCTCAGTCAACTTAGGCTTTATAAGATAGAATCACCTTAAATTTAAGAGCTTGGGCTTAATTGCTCAGTCAACTTAGGCTTTATAAGATAGAATCACCTTAAATTTAAGAGTTTTTTTTAATGGTGCCCATTTTTCGCACTCTTCTTTTATAAAGTTAGTTTTTTTTTAATATATATATGTGTGTAAGTATATATAGTCTTTAAAAAAATGTGTAAATCAAGATAACTTAAAAAAAATATTTTCAACTCTAAGTTAAGCATGCAAAAATTTCATTATTTTTAATTAAAAGTCTAAGGTAAGACTTAAGCAAAGTATACTAGTTGAAAAATCATTTCTTAAGAATTTTATTTGGAGTTATCATAAAAGGTGAACTTGAATATGTCACTAACTATGAATTAGAAAATTTAAAATCTACCAATTTGATCAATTATTACTTAACTCTATTAATTTGGCAAGTGACAATATTTTTTTTAATTTTTTTTAACAAAAAGAAAGAAAAAAGCAACTAAAAAGGTAAAATAAAGAGGAAATTATGTATTTCTCACCCACACACCTAAATTTTGCATTGTCCTCAATGCAAATTCGCTGAAGCACAAAGTAAAGCAGATAAAAATGAAGAACTTACAGTTGTTCGGTTGACAAAGATGATAAGGATCTGCAATTACTGTTAGTATGAGGATGAAGAAATCAATTAAGAGAAAAATTGTAAGTAATTATTTTTA